TTAAAACTGGCTGAAAATATTGAAATTAGTTTTCTATTTTTCATATAAAGAATGATACTACGCTTATTTTATTTTTAAATCATTTTTGGAGGATTTCCTATTCCTCAGAAACTTTTCAAGATCAATTTCAAACCCAAAACTATATATATATATATATATATATATATATATATATATATGAATTATATTTAATATATTTAACTAATTGATGAATTTTAATCAACAAAGTATAAAAATAACTCATATATCACAACAATGTATAACGCTAACGATACATGATATGTACTCGCAAAGCAATACCACATGGATCATATTTTATAAAGGTGTTTTTAAATAACACTTTGATAAATAATATACTCTTTTATTGTTTCTTTCACATTGGATTAATAAAAAGTAGAGTCAAGTTTGTTTACCAGACTTGAGAATTTATGACACCTGTACAAGGTTACAATGTCTTCGCGATGATCTCAGAGTTTATTTTGTTCATTTGTGTACATATTCAATAATTTTACATTATGTGTTTGAATAAGTTTCATGTTGATTCTACTAATGCGAACTCTTCAATACACTCTATTTTTGGTTTAGGTATTTAAATTACTCATTTTATATTGGAATTATTGGAATGCTAATTTCCGTTTAATTCGTACCGTATTCACGTATTTAAGTAAATTTTTGAAATGCAATACATTTAATACACGTTAAAGCGCCAATATATAAACAAATTTATAATATGTAAAATAATTGCACATAAAATCATATGGTTTTATTGCAATCAGGTAGTAATCATTACTTCATGTGGTCATATAACTTTTTTATTATTTTTCCACAATACTTCTAATATCAAATATTATTGTTTTCAATTGGATTTAGCAGTAAATTAATAAATATTTAAATCTTTATTAATTCAATTAAAATTTAATATTTATAAAAACATAATATTTTTGAAAATAAAAATTCAAATAGCTTTTTATAAATAATTACATTTATCATAATTATATAATTTATTATAATTTTGTGTAAATTTGATACACTTAACAATATTTGCACAATTATATCATATTTAACAAAAATTACAGTTATTAACAGATTAGATAATTCGTATAGTGTCATAAATAATCAAATCTAAAATGACTCATCTGATGTTTCATGATTGTCTATAAATATGCTTCACTACATTGACAATAATTTTGAAATCTCACATTTACATCTACAAGTGGAATTATTACTATATATAGAATACAAAAGTTAAACTTGATAATGGATTTCCACGAAGCATCAGTGATTTTATATAGTAATATTATTTTTAACTTGAAAATTTATATTGTTTATGTTATATTAAGATACAAAATTTTAAGTGTTTATTATTATTATTATTATTATTGTTATTATATGAAATTTCTTACATATTATTTACTTAGTTCTAATTTATATAGTTATAATGATTGCCACTGAATGAATGCTAAGATGCTAGCGAAACGTACGGATTTTAAATAAATTTCTAAAAACTCTCATACTATTTTTATTGATGTAACGTCCGACTTTAACTCAAATTATATATATATATATATCAACATCAAATTCAAGATATATATATCGTATATATATATATATGTATATATATATATATATATATATATAAATATCCTTATTTATGTCCTGATGTTTTTTAAAATATGGAATTTAATTAAATAATGGTAAAATGCAACCATTACTTACTACAGTGCAATACTACTCTAATGTACCTTCATGTACATTCTAAAAACTAATAAAAAATATGACCAGTAAAAGTTCTAAAAGTAAACATGGAAAATTTAAACTATCTATTCCTTATCAATGGCTTAATTTTTTAGAAATTATTTTCTGATATTTTTCATGTAGTTGCTTTTAGAGTCCTATATAGCAATAAATTGATATCTTTATGAACAAACCTTCGTTCAGTCATACGTTTTTATTAGTTTCTGTGTAAAACGAAATTAATTTCATCGAAACGGGAGCGTCCGCTGACGCAGGGCATTTCCAGGTACCAATGCCGGCTGACCGCCCGAGGACATGCGGTAACAAATGACTCAAAACGCACGACGAAAGCGACACATGTGACGCTCGTTTTTTATTTTTTAACATATACTGTTGATATGGACCTGATAAACATTTTATTCAAAATTTATTTTAAATGATTGTTCAATATTTTTTCGTAAATGTCTTTTGAGATATTTGGGGATCTCATAACAATCTAAATGCAAAGGTCAATTCATGCGTAGAGCACTGAATGTCATAACACAAAAATTGAAATTGCATTTATAATCCAATTTTTGGTATACTATTAAATGTTTTAATGCCTTTATCTTTTCTTTTTCTGTGTTATGAACCCTAAAAATCTATTCATATTTTTCAACAAAATTAACTTAGTAGGGTATATTTTTTCCTTTACATCTTATACAATACATAAAACTCAGAATATTAAATTGTAGCATTATCGATATCGATATACAATATTGATCAATAAATTATGTTAATCACATGACTCTATTTCAAGTGTCCTGCATTTTTTAACTTCACGTAGGCTAAGTTATAGTATATCTTACGTTTCAAAGGTTTCTAAATATTTTGGCATACCTTATAAAAAATGGATGTATATGTGTGTTTGTGTGCAGATACAATTTTCGTCGACGATTTCGGGAACACCGATCAACCGATTTGAATAATTCAAAAAACATTCGATTCGTATTGATAGGAAGACGTGCTGATTAGTTTTTGGCAAAGGCAGGTCTAGCCGTTCCGACGATACGAGGCAAAAAGTGCCAAAAACGGTAACTCAGTTTTTTAAAGAACGGAGCGTCCGATTTTAATAATTCAAAAAACATTTTACTTGTATTGACTAGATGAAGAATTGTTGTAATTTTTGGGAGGCACGTCCAGCGTTTATATACTCTCAACAAAAATAAGTTAAAAATATCATTAGGCGGTTAAAAATGTTTATTCGAACAGGTACATCAAATGATCAGTTATTTATAGAGATTTCAATAGTGTGTAATTTTTTTTGGGTTTCATATCTAGATTTTAATTACGGTACGGAAAATCCAGCAATTTGCCTTAAGGCACGATGCCATGCATTCCACTAGTTTTAATTTTTTTTTGCTGGTCCAGTTATTTTATATATAATTTTTAAATAGGTAATTTTTATAACTTTATGAATTTTATATAATAACCTTATTTATTTGGAATAAAAATAATTAATGAATAAAGGAATAATAAAATTACACGCACGCAAATATGTATAAATATATATATATATATATATATATATTTTGTATATATATATATATATATTATATATATACAGGGTGTCTCAGACCTCAACGTCAAGCCGCAACCGGTGTAATAGCATTACCTTAATTTCCTGAAAAAAAAATATTTCAAGTTGTTTGGAAATTATGAGCTTTTAGGTGCAACCTAGAGCTTTGGTGAAATTATTACTATTTTTAGGTTATTTCGATTGATTTTAATTAATTTGAACTAATTAAATGCGCCAACTTTCGATAAAATTTTGACTTAAAATTAACCACAACAACCGAAAAATGGTTATGATTTCACCAAAGCTTTACGTTGCACATAAAAGCTCATAATTGCCAAACAACGTGAAATATTTTTTGAGGGCAGTTAAGTTCAATACATTTACTCCGTTTTGGCTTGGCGTCATTGTATTTAAATACACATTATAATTCTTTTTATATTTAAATACTTTGTTGATTTGAAAACAAAACCATAAAAACGACAACTATTTTGTGTTATATAGAAAGCTACGCGTGAAAAAGATTTAAAACATTATATTATTAGCTTAGAGATATTAATTATCAAATAAAATCGTTGTTAAAAAACCAAAATTATGATAAAATGAACCAGTATGTTAGTTTTAGATATAATAATAAAATGATAGATTCATACATAAATTACTCATTGCATTAAGTTGATCATATGTTCTTTTTCTTGATCAATTAGCTTCATATCATTACTTTAAAATACAAAATTTCAATTTGAGTATCATCTTCTCCAGAGTCCTAACTTGGCGACGAGATTTTTCATTGCTATCGAAGTTTACTGAAATAACTTATGTGGTGGGCATAATGTTGGATTGCTTGCGATATTACAGAACGGAAATTGTCTCAGTTGAGGCGCGATAATAACTGCGGTCAAATCACAAACGCGCGCTCTTTACGATATTGACGGTTAATAGCACTGTTTAACTGATTGTGATGTAATTTTAAAACAATATTTCTTATAACATAAATTACTGAGCTATTAATAAATAGGCTAACTATTAAAATGATTGAGTCAGGGAGTTGTTTTGCCTACCGTTAGTGTTTCTTTGTGATATGCGCTGTGCTATAACATTGATGTGAAATTTCCAATATTGTATAAAGGACCTAATAATGCGCATTTTGGAATTTTCTGTTGCAATAAGGGAAAACTGGTGAGTTTACAAACACAAACATTTTGTTAATAATCTTATTGGTATTACATAAATTCCCACGAATTCAAGCTCTTTATATAATATTGAGTAAAGCTAAAACAAGTAATAATCATAATCTTATGAATCAAATTAAAATACATAACAAGTTGATATCTGGCGTCATCTTGAAGATATTCATACTTTTTATTGAACACGTGAGATATTTTATATTCAAATAAAGCGTGTGCTGATGGTATGACTAATATTTCAATCATACTTGGCATAAATTAAATTGCTTTAAGTTATTTATACATACATAAACAAATATATGTATGAATAGAGATTCATCTTATAACGGGACGGTACGGGTCTAATTTTGGTAAAGTCTTCCTAGCATTAAGCGGCAATGATCAATTTTCACTTATTGTTAGAAATGTGAATAAGAAATATACAGAATATATTATAAAGATTTATGTACATTCAATTGTTTCCATTATTAATAAAGCATGAATTTGTTTACTACTTTAATTTGCTTGAATTTGCAAATTGTCTACATTAAATATATATATATATATATATATATATATATTATATGTATTTACATATATATCAATAAATATATAAATTTTGTAGAATCCGCTTAGTATGACGCCAGACTTAATCATACCGCAAAGTTTGTTGTTCATATAAAATTCCTTAAAAAACAGTTGGATATAATGACACATTTACATTGACATATCGTTTATAATAACCGATTTTTAAAAAAGTCCAATCAAAATGACCGACATGATTTTACACCTCTGGTAACTGAAGGTGAAAAAGCAGTCAAGGTTTTTTAAGAAAAACAAAGAAAGATTAACAGCTTTGTCGCGTGCTAATGACTGCCGCCCTATTGAAATGCTGTTTTTAATTAATTAATAATTAATAATAATAATTAATTAATAAAAATTAATTAATAGTAATTAATTAATGCTTTGTACTAGTATTATAGCCTAATTATTAACCTGATGGTTATTGTAATTACCGCTCTATAGTCCGAAATTTTCGACACTCCGGCCGGCACCTAGGCCGGTCTCGAGCGTGCCGGAATAACTTCTACTGTAAATACAGTACATAAGATAGCTTTTTTCAGAATGTTTTGAAAGACTTATAAATCAATCTTTATTTTTGAAAATATTAAAGATTAATTTATAAATCTTTCCCTTTTAATTAATGTATTGATTTGGAAGAACCTACTACTACTACACACACATATGAATATATATATATATATATATATATATATATATATATATATATATATATATATGATAAAATTGTTTCATACAAATAAATTTGAAAAAAAAAACACAAAACCACACAAAATTGCAGGAAAAAAATAAATATGAAACAAAAAATTGATAAAACGTAAAGTTATGATAAATTTAAAAAAATTGTAAAATTAAAATAAATAATATATTTTATTATAAAAAAGTTTATTCCAAACGAACATGTTGTCAGCTTGGAGTATGTGTTACGTGTTACTGGATGGATGCCCAAGAAACAATTTTATCATATTATTTCACTATCTGAAGAAAAACCTCTCGCTTTATATATATTTTGATTGATTTGATTTGATGATAAAATCAAAACTAACTTTCTAACACACACACAAACACATATATATTTATAAATATATATATATGTATCAATATCTATTGCTTCAAGTTTATGCTTTTATAAATAAGTATTTCTACTACAAAATGATAAACCATTTCTCTAAAATAAATAACTCTCCATTATCTATTTAGAATTTTGAAATGAGTATCTGTAGTATGAGAAATTATAATAATATTGCCAACGTATATGCCGATTTATAATAAGAATCTCAAGAAATATTGAGTAGCGATAATAACTGCATTCAATAACAAATGTAAATAACAATATGAATAATTGCGTGTAATCAAGAACTCGTTGTTTGATTAAAAGTTTCAAGTATTGCATATAACAAATCGTTTGTCTTGCTTTGTTTTATTTATATACTGCAATTAAGGAGATCATCAATTTTATTATAATTAGATAGAATCTTTGGCTACTACAAGTGTGCTAATGATTGATATTTCATGAAGAAACTTGATAGAAAAATTCTCTATTTCTATCATACGTTTCATTTTTATTTTTAATTTCACAAAATTAATTGAATAGTATTTTTTATCATTAATTGTAAAGTAATTACAAAATGATAACTACATGTTGTGAGTATTTGCTATCATAACAAAGTGCTCCACAATCTAATAAAAAATTTTTGGGGCACAAATTTTATAGTTTTCATAATTATTATATGAAAACAGGTCAAAAACAATTATATTCTATTCTATATTTATCAATTTATCATGTTCAATAAAAAATATTTTTGTAATAAAAATATTGATCATACGGAGATGAGCAAAATTAAGCATATTTAGTTTATATATATATATATATATATATATACATATTTATATATATTATGATTCTCAGGATTCAAGTTGGTGCACCGAAAGGGAGCAATCTGTTTCTTCCTCAAGTCACAGATCCTGGAGCTGTTTACAAATGTCCTTTCAAAAACTCTTGCAATGTTATAGATATCAATTCCATGAACAGTAAGTATTTAGTCAGAATATTTGTTCACATCTCATATGAAAAGAAAAATATATAATGAGAAACAGAAGACAGTGTTAGTTCTTTCTCTTTCAATTCAAAATAAATTTTAATTTTTACAGCTCCAGGAAAAGACCACAGAAAAGCCAATGGGTGGCTGGGTGGTGCTATGGATGTTAGCACGTCAACCCATTCTTATGCTGTAAGTTAATATTAGATTTTAGAATTTAATTTAAAATAGAAAATCATTTTTAGTTTATTATTAGGAACATTTAATTTGTACAAGCCGATTATGTGTAATTTTGTGTTTTAGGTTTGCAGTCACAGAATGATAAATCAGAAATGGAACTCGTATTACATGATAGGTTCTTGTTATTGGGGTCACAGTCAAGCAAATATGCAACCCCAATATGTTATGACACCTTTAGATGATCACGAGATATATACTCTGCAAGAATCAACTGCGAACTCGAATCCAGTTTCGGTCTACGATTGGGGAAATGGTCTGGCTGGAATGTCAGTCCACATACCAAAAAATCTTACAAATGGGGTACAAAATTTAATAACTATAATATCTTAAACATTTTGGTATTAAATATTCAGCAAAAATCAAATATAGAATGAAAAAATAAATGAACGATATAGTATATATTTTCAATTTAGAATATGTAGTTGCATCTAGGCATATGTCTTATCGATTTTAACCTATATCTTATCTATAAGACATTTACAAATGCTTGTTATCAATTATTATATTACAATCATTATCACTGATCTCAAAAACCATTTCTTGATATCTCAAATAGATAAAAAAGTAATAAATTTATATAAATATTGTTTCAGAACATGCAACTTGTGATAGGGGCTCCAGGTGTGTTTAACCTTCGTGGGGCTGTAATACTGTACCGCAACCTGGAAAGAGGACTCGGACAACCATTGGTCACAAATCCTTATAAAACTGTTGGCGGCCCAATAGATGATGATTATGTTGGATATCAAGTATCATCAGGTTATTTTTACAATCGCGACAAAGTTTTATACGTGGCGAGTGCCCCAAGATCGATGTATAAAGGAAAGGTATCTAATATTCAATCAGTAATCAAATAATATATTATTACATTTAGAAATATTAAATATTTTATAACTGTGATATTATTTTTTTTTAATTACAATATTTATTACAACTGTTAAATAGTTAACATCTAGCAATATTGATAAATAATACCATAAATTTAAATAAATAAGAGTGCAAAGGATAGAATTTACATGAGAATAATATCCGTAGTATGATGATTTAATATAAAATAAAAGCAAATAATAATGAAAATAAAATTAATAAATAATATAAATAAAATTTCTGAATAATAAAATAATACTAGAAAAATAATAAAATATAACAAAATAACAATAATAGAAATAGTAAGGTAATAATAATAATAATAATAATCTTAATGCTAGCGTTCACAAATGGCTATTTATGAGATCATTGGGGATTTTTCGTTTTTAACTGTGATATTAATGAAAAATTTATATAATTTTGCAAAAATAAATAATTCCATTCGTTTTAGGTAATAATTTTTGAATTTGCCAGAACAACAAGAGAGGCTATGATCATTAAACAAGAACTTGTTGGCCAAACTATTGGAGAATATTTCGGTGCATCTGTCACGAGTGGTGATCTCGACAATGATGGCCTGGACGATTTAGTAGTCGGGGCACCTCAATGGAGCAGCGTTGAAGATGAAGGACGAATATATGTTTATATGGGTTCAAATACAGTGAGAGTCATTTCACATTTATATTAAAACTTTAAAGTTAGCATTTGGAGTTTTACTTATTATTTATTTTTTCTGCAGGGCCGATTGAGTCTCAGTATTTCATTTGATGGTTCGGTGAAGGGCGCTATGTTTGGATATGCCGTACAATTTCTCGGAGATGTCGATGGAGATGGATACAATGGTATTTCTTATAGAAAATCATTTATGTAGGAGTATTTTTGTTATACATATTTAATTATTTCTTCAGATTTGGCAGTTGGAGCTCCATATGACGATGATTTTAGAGGTGCTTTATATGTATATTACGGTGGTCCATCAGGTCTTTCAGCTGCTCGAAGCACGAGGATATCTGCAAGTGTATTATCACCTGAATTGAAAGGCTTTGGTGTTAGCTTCAGTAAAGCTGAAGATCTCGACAACAATGGATATGGAGGTAACGTAAACAGCTAAACAATTGAGAATAAAACACTTTGAATTGACAAGTATATTAAAGTCTATGCGTTTCGATTTTCATTACTTTTTCCATTTCAAATTTAGATTTTGCAGTTGGTTCCTTTATATCAGGCCACGCGGTTCTTTTAAGATCAAAACCAGTGATGGATGTCGTGGTGTCAATAAAAACAAAATCAAATAGTTTAGATCATTCAGCAACACAATTCGAAATTGATTTATGTGTTTTTTATTCCGGACGTGGATTACCAACAGACATGGGTAATTTATAAACCGAGTTTTATAACATTTTTAGCATTAAAATATGCAGTGTAACGTATAAAAGAGCTTTATAAATATAACTATGATTTTTATTAACAGTTGTGATACGAAATGTATCAGCCGATGCAGCTTTTGGACGTGTTACTTTATCAAAAACCGGAAGATTTCAAAATGAAGCTAATGTAAAGGTGGCGATAAACAGAGAAACGTGTGAAACTATCACCTTTGATTTGAAGGTTAATATATCAATATTTAAGATGATGTAATAATAATATTAAACCTTGAATTGCATTTTAGGCAAAAAATAATTTTGAACCAATGGAAATTATATCGTCTTATAGCCTTTTGCCGGAATCAAACTATAGCAGTGTTCTTTTATATGGGACTCAAAATTTTCCTAGTCAGTATATATCTCATATGCGCATACACACACACATATATATATATATATATATATATGTGTGTATATATAATACGGTTTTTATTAAAAATAATATTTTTGAAAATTTAAAATTCAGATTACGATGGTTTTTGTACGAATTGTCCAGTGATGAGATTAGGTTCTAAGACTCGAGCTTCTGCCACAATATCTTTCGCTTCTAACTGTGGAAATGACGGACAATGTACATCGGATTTACATGTTGACGTTAAATTTAATGGTACAACGTAAGTATACAAAAAATACATTAAAGATATAATACAAAGAAAGAAAGAAAAATTATTAATATAACACACAAAGCAAGAAGATTGAAATACAAATTAGGTTCTATGGTGTTTCAAAATAATTAAGTATTATATTAGTAAACGATAGCTAGCACTAATCAAATATTTGGTTGATTACACAACTATTAGCTCGATTTTAATTTCACTAATGGATGTATTTTTGTGTTCGTATATTTTTAGCAAAATGGTATACATTCTGGGCTCAGATAAAACATTGCAATTGGAAGTTGAAGTCCACAATAAAGGTGAATCTGCTTACTCGACTCAACTGCATGTTAAAATACCAAAACCTGTTGATTTAGAAAGCATTCCGTCCAGTTGCCAACAAGATGATGACGCTGGAGAATATAATATAGCGATTACTTGCTTCGTAGCAAACCCTCTATATAATGATAAAAGGGTAAGCAATATATTATATTTTATTCATATATGTTATCTGAACGAGTGTGAAAGCATAATAATTTATAATATTTGTAGTATTTCTTCACTCTTCCTCTGGATATGAGCAAAGTAGGCTTATTAGAAGACTATGACATGACAGACAACGAATTATTATTCAACGTGGCTGCGACTACAATTAGTAGTAACATCGAAAAAAATAATATTAAAGATATAGCTATACAGTTGAAAAATGAATTCGATATTACGGTTACTGGGTAAGATAAATAATTTTATAATTACTGAAAGGCTTTTAACAATGTTCATTAAATGTAATTTGTTACTCCATAGTAAAACGCCGCAAGATGCGTTATCGTACGATACACCCGATAATGAAACTGCTGTGGAACTTTTGAGATTTCAACATAATTTTATTGTCCAAAAATTTGGTGCAAGTCCTGTTCATCAAGCTGCTCTCTCCATAATATTTCCCTATGCAATGCACCGCGACAAAAATGAAATAAAAAAATTCTTAGTGGTTAGTACAACTTTGCTAAATCTCTAGAATAAGATAAATTTGATTCTTAATTGTAAAAATTTGGTATGCATTCCAGGTCCATTCAAATGCAGGATCGCAGGATGGTCAGCCACTACAATGCACAAGTAATCAAATCAATTATCATGTCGAAAATGAATACTCAACTGAAGATTTTGATAGCTACGACTTTAATAATGAGGTATTTCTTTTAATTATGATTATAATGCAAAGCCGATCTAATAAAATGTAACATTTAATAATAACAATATTCAAAATTTAATAGACTGAGATGTATAGAATGACAATGCCGCGGTCTCGAAAAACTCGTGATGTGAGCAATTATCAAGAATCGCCAGAAAATAGGACTTTATTGCTAAATTGCAATTCACCATCATTTTTGTGCTACGAAATTAAATGTCAAGTTGGACCTTTCTTTCAAGAACAAACAGTAGTTCGACTATCCATAGACATGGCTATGAATGTATCTGTTTTAAAAGGTAAGAAATAATATTATTAGTAAGAAGTTATTTTTAAATTTTATCTTGTATACATATTGAACACCAACATATTTTAATGGTCTAAGTAGATTTGAACTTAATTGTTGTTGTAATTCAATTTTACATATAGAGTAGCAGTAGTATCTTATATGCTAGTTTTTCATATAACAAATTGTGTTTTCAGAAATTTTAGACGACAATGATGTTGCACTGTTTTCAAGCATTGCCAATGTTAACGTCATTCGACCTTTCGGGTTAGAACAGACTGCTACTGGAGGAATATTGTTACGTCCTGATGATTTTGTTTTATCAACATTATTCAGTGGATCTCCTAAGAATGGAACTATCGTACCATGGATAATTGCCGTGGCTGTTGCTGTGGGACTTCTCCTTTTGGGTCTGGTGATTGCTGGACTTGTCAAGGTATATAAATTAATAAAAGATCACAATATAAGAAAATTATCTTTGTTAGAGTTCTACCTAATTATTATCTCCAACAGTTACCATCTCACCTATTATGATCATATTTTTGGAAGATAGTTTTTACTATAATGAATACCTTATTATTTCAGGCCGGCTTTTTTAAGAGAACGACTAAAGAAGAATTAGAAGCACTCAAAGAGGCTGATCAGGTAAATGCGTAAAAAGTATATCTAAAATCCAATAACCATCAATAATCTGCCATTATTTTTATTGATATAAATTTTTGTACGTTTTGACGTTTATTATATATATATATATATATATATATATATATATATATGTATATATATATATATGTATATATAACCATTTATTATATTCCCAGAGTGCACCAGGAATAAGTGAAGAGGAAGCTTTAGCGCACAGTCATGAAGTTGAAAACTCATCCGAAAAAGAAGAAGCTTAAACTGTGTTGAATGCAATTTCAAGTTGTAAAATTTTGTGCTTTTTGTATATAGATATCTACAAATATTTCGCAGAAGAAGTTTAAGAATGTTTGAGAATATTTGAAATCAAGAGAAAGTTGTGTCATAATCATAAACGTATTTAGATCATAAGTAGTAAACATTCAAATATCACTTAAGTAGTGTAAATATGAGACTGAAAGTGAACGATTAAGCATTTTTATATTTAAAGTCATATAATTTATTTCTAAGATATAGATATAGAATATCTGTGATGAATAAATTCCAAACGTTATATTATAAATTATTAATAAATCAATTCTATATAAAAGGAATTAAACTTTTAGTATAATAAATATTTAATATAACATCTTTGGAATGAAAAAACGTTTAAATACAGACCCAAATTTAGTTAAAGGGATATCTGAAGCATTTTACTTTCGTTGAGTTTAATTTATATTGATATTATAATTAGGTAATAAAACAGATATTGAAAGTACTTATTAGGCAGCTACATTTCACCCATTTAAACAAACTTATAAAAAATATGAAGTAATATCAGAAGAACAAATGCACATATTGTGAATGTATCAAATAATAGATATGTATTATATATATTATTTTCAATATCATTAATTATAATTCAATAGGTTATATAAAACATGCTAATGAAATTTAAAAAACAAATCGGTATCTAAATCGGTTTATGCTTGAGAGAACGCTATAAGAAAAAATCAGAATAAAAATAAATATATTTATTTATCTCATCAAACACAAGTGCGTCATTTCTAGTAAAATATCTTATATAGAACATTAAAGTGCCATTTATATTAACAATGCTTTAGACGGTTTATACTTAATACTTATATACTGATTATACCATCGCCAAAAGAATACATAATTTCATTATAATTTGAAACCAAGTATATCAATAATCAAGACTTAATTAAAACTAATTGAACATAAAGATTGAATACGTACGCTTTGTCTCAATTGCATTAACTTATACAATTATTCTAAATATGTATTTATCACATAACAATTGAAATACACTCGCACGAGAATTTTAAACCACCATTATCTACATATTTTACATAGTTGAAAAATGAAAGAATTTAACTATTTCAAAAACGATAATTATTCCAGTAATTTTTGAATGAGTAATTTATAAATTATAGGAATGCTGCCGACTATTTTGTTGGCTTTGCAGTTTTAGGCGATGCCTTGCCTTCGGCTTCAGAGGTGGGATTCGAACCCCTGACTGAAAATGTGACATAATACTTTTTATTGACGTCTAATTTATCTGATGGCAGTGTTATCAGTTGCTTATCATTTCCATGAGATAGTTCTAATGCCACGGCGTTCTTGTCGTGCTTTTCGCCCGTCTTGATGCGTGGCAGAAAGCTCGGCTCGGGAACTTTGGGAAAGCCGGGCTTAGGAATCGTGTGGTGGTTCATCAGAGGAACTAAAAATTTAGTATTGTAAGTTTTTATACTATGTATATATACATATCAGCCTTTATTCGTATGTATGTGCGTATATGTAAGCGCGCATTTATGTGCTCTGAAAAAAAAAATGACTACTATACGGTACAAATGAGGAAATTACTCGATTGAGTGTCGTAGTAAGTTATTGAACTTTAAAAATTAGATGGCGAAACTTAGAAATAATTGTGTTTGCTATTGATAATTAAGAAATTATATTGCAGATTTAAACGCTAAATTCTATTTTTATCATTAAAATAAAATTCGCCTTGTGCAACTAAATGATTGTTTAACATCACATGGTTTACTTAGCTCAATGGGTACAATTATATGAATATTATATAAAAGGTAAAAAGATTCACCACCGATATCTTAAAAACAATTTTACAAGAGATAAATTGAATAAATAGTTGTTCTAAAACTGTTTATGAATATTTCTGACAAGGATATATACAATGTTATCTTGAATAAAATATTCAAGGATATATACAATGTTATCTTGTAAAAAATGTACTCATGCAATTTCCCCCCCCCCACCAACGGTGTAAAAAAAACAGGTAACAATTTTTTGAAAAACAGCAAAAAAACATTTCTACTATGACGAATTAGCTGGTAGTTTAACTGAACATAGTCAGATAGTTGTTTGTTTGACATTTTTTAACTCTCTTTTATTCAGCAATCAGAAATACATAAGGATTCCTGTATGCTAAATTGACAATATTTGATCGCGATGTCTAAGAAGAACTCCAGTGAGATCTTTTTAGATTTGTTTGATATATGTTATCTGTTGTGATGTAATTGATTTTGTTTTTACAATATAATTGCTCAAAGTCAAATTGGACTTTTGTACCCCGCCCTAACCTATATGTGTTATGCGTAGAAGCGCAGATATAATATTTGCGTTTTATTAGTATCCTTTGTATATCTACTATATAGAAATATAATTTATTAATAAAAAGAAACATTGATGACATGCATTTATTTAAAGAAAAGATGTAAAGCATGTACTTACTATAGGCAGCACACGGAATTCCAGTATATGCATGAGTAGCATGATTGCATCTGAATGTTTTTGTTGTACAAAATAATGGATTTGATTTGCATTCATTTTCTATAAACGATTCAGCTATTGTCTTATAATTGCTACTACCCACTTTTTGTAATTTTTTCAAAGTGTCGTATAAATGACGTTCAAAAGCTTCATATGTGAATTCTTTGTCTGTATATCTACAAAGAAAAAAAAATGTATTGATCAATGATATTAGTAGAAAATGATAATATTTTTAATTAACCTGGCTACTTGAGGATTGGATCTATGATATTGGTCGATTGCACGTTTAACTAAAACAGCTTCGTGTGCGCGAGATGATCGGATTTGTAATCGTTTCAGATCCAGAAGATGTTGAAATATTATTCGCTCTGTATAATACCTAAAACAGAACACACATTAATTGTATTATAAGATTATATTTAAATGTTATCATATAATATTTTATTAAAAGTTATCAATATTCTTCTTTATTAATAAATTTTATTTCATCAAGTAATAATTATTTTATAAAAATTGTATCGCACCAAAAATGACAACAAAATTTATTAGATCATCTTATGTACTGCTGTTTATGTGCACTTTATTCACTATAAGCGCAAATTCAATTAAATTGAAGCTGTTTATTAAACTGCGTACAGCAAAATTGGTACGCATTGTAAAGTTTTCGAAACGCTACGTGCTAAGTGCCAAATATAAATTATATTTGGTTTATTATTCATATTTTTATGATAATAATAAAATTGATAACCTGTTAAAATTATGTATTCACCTTCGTATATTAGCTTGCATGCTTTGATTTACAGTTGTCATATTAACAGCGTTTTTGTCGCCCGGTTTTCTGTCTATGGCTCTACCTGGTCTAGTGACTTTTTTCTCAGGAATTTTTCGATTCTTAGATACTGCTTTAGGTCCAACTGACTTCGGTCTAGTGATTACTCTAGGGCTTGGTTCAAAACCGGAATCCATCATTCCGCTAGATTCATATCCACGCTCGGACACTTCCTCACTCAGTGTTCGTGATCTATTTTTCGTACGCTTTTTTAATTTTTTTCTTCTACTTGGAGATCCCATAGATGACCAAGTATTAGCGGCGGAAGGAGGTGCCGTTGTATCAACAATAGAACTATCGAGAACACTAGATTGACCTTCAAATTTTTCGGAAGCACGAAAGCGCAAATCATCCATTGCTGTCCTTGGGGTCTGATTTTTTTCAAATTTTTCTGAATCCTCCGACGAGTCAGTAGTATCATCTTCTGACGTGTAAAGTGATTCCTTACGACCTTCATCATTTTTATTGTATTCCAGTTGAATAAAACGTTCAGGAGGCGGCACCATTTCAATCATATGCAAAGCCGGAGTAGCTTCGAAACTTCCGATAAAATTTTCTGCTGCGATTGGTTGATTAATTCGTTCTCCAATTAATTTATCTTCTAAACTCATTTGATCTTTCTTATCCTCTATTTTAGTTTCATCAGCAAGTGAAGCTTTAGAAACAGTTATTTTATCTGTATTATTTGGTACGGATTCTACATCTGTACTTTGAACAATATTTTCTGTCTCTTGTTTTACATCTTTAATATTATCTTCCTCTTTACTAATAATTTCTGCATTCTGCATTAATTTATCTGATGGTAAATGTAAATCCTCTGACATTTTTTGAACCAACTCAGTAGCTGATTCAGTAATGTGCTCCGCTAACTCTGTTGTTTGTAATCCAACTTTTGTTTCAACTGCACTAATTTGTTCAGATTTTGTTATATCTGATTGTTCCTTAGATTGTTGAATCAACTCTGTAGTGTCTTTGATTGATCCTTCAATTAAATCGCTATTACTTTGTTCACTAATTTGAGGAACTGTAGAAAGTGTTTGATTTTCTTCGACCCTTTTATCCATAGTACCACTTTCTATTTTACCGTCTAGTTCGTTTGACAAATTATTACTTAAATTATTCGTTGTTTCTAGGCCTTGAACATCTTTATCATTTTCTTCAGTTTTATGAATTTCTGCTTCGGTAATTACTTTGCCTTTCTTAGTGTCAGAACCTTGCATGTTGTCGTTTTCGCTTTCTGAGGTCGTAAAAGTTTGTTTTTTGTTTTTGATATTTAACTGAGAGAGTTCACTATCACTAACATCTTCATTTTGTTTAATTTTAGATTCTTTAACTTTTTTTTCAGTCATAGTTGATGATGTAGTTTTTGTTAACTCACTTGTCACCTTTTTTCTATCCTTAGATTTGGAAGTAGGCTTATCTAAACTACTATCTGCATCATTTTTTTTGTTTGCTTTTACTTATTACTTTTTCCTGCTTTTTCGTTTTGGATTCTTTTGTTTTGCTACTGCTTTTCTTTGATGCATACTTATCGTCACTTTCGCTTGGTTCACTTACTTCGGAGCTTTTATGCTTCTCTGATTTTTTACTTCTAGCCTTTTCATTAACTCTGCCACCACTTCGAGATTTGGTCTTAGTTTTACTATTATCAACTATTTCATCTTCGTCACTTACTGATCTTCTATATCTGACTTTACCTACAACTTTGTCTGATTTTCTTTTAGCTTTACTTGTATTTATTATCTCAACTGTATCGTCTATATCTTCAGAATCATCTTCTTCGCTTTCACTTTCGCTTTGAGAATCTGCATTTGGTGTAACAGTTCTTTTTGTAGTAGTTTCCGTTTTTAAAGTTTTGCGTTTAACAATTCTTTCTTCACTTATATGTCTAGGTGATTTGGCTTCATTTTTCCTACTTTTTCTACGTGATTTAGGAGAGCTTGAAACACTCTTTGAGACTCGATTTGGCTTTTCTTCTTCACTGACATCCTCTTCGCTGTAAGAATGCATTGTTCGTCTAGTGTACGTTTTCGTCTTATTACTCGTTTTTGATTTAGACGAACTATGACTACTAGTTTTATATTTTTTTCCTCTATCACTACTAAATTCTTCACTCGACAAAGTTTCATCTGAATCCTCTGTCGATATATGTTTTCTTCTTTGCGATCTGGGTCTATTAGATCGACTATGAGATCGATCTCTTGCTGGCTTCCGCCGTTCTTTGTAGTCACTGCTATTATCTTTAGAATCGCCGCGATTTATTTTTGATCGGGCTGATTTCAATTGTCTGGTACTTCGGGAATTACTCCTTTGTCTTTCGCTCATGCTGGTACTTGATCGCTTATCACGTTGCTTATCACATCTCGAATGTGATCTAGTATGAATATCAGAATCACTATGACTATTTTTACTGAGCTCTTTAATATCTTTGCGAGTGAGCCTCCGCGGTGATTGTAGCAAATATAAACGTTTACCGTGATGGCATCTATGTATGCACGTGCAAAATTCTTCTATATTCGAGTCATCTGAACTAGAACTGCAGTGGACTTTAGTCAAACATTTAGTTCTGGAATTAAATATACACACTGAAAACTAAATAATATAATTGAAAAATAAATGTAAAGTAAATAACAAGTGGTACTTATAAATATTATTTATAATAGGAATAAGACTCTATTTATTTTGCTAAATTTATTATTTAATTTCGCTAATAGATCTAGCTTGCATATTGAAAAATCAATTCTAATCTTTAGTATAATAGCACTATCTACGAATGTATGAGCATGTTAACTATGTGAATAATAATTTCATTACATTATATATTAATTCTATTGCACAAAATTAAGTTGTTGCAACAAGAATAAAAATATCAATCTCAACAATAAGAACAGAAGCTTGATTTTGTTTGTCTATAATCGATCTTCGACAATAGTTGTATGTCACATATGTTTTTTTAAATTAAAACTGATGGTTAATTTTATTGAATTTCTCTAAAATCTTTAGGACTCTCTAAAGATTCTAAACTGTTCTACTTTATTTAAATGCTCTAACTGTCTAATATAAAATATAAAAAACGTGATAATAATACTAAATTATTTCCTATATAATTATCATTTTTTGTTTCACCTTATTCTTATGTTGCTGGGATTGTGTTCTATTTGTTGAAAGGTAGTTACAGCCTCAGGTTTTCCCTTATATTTATTATCAGAACTTGAATCCTTTTTCGGTTTACGAGTGTCATCAGTTTTTGATAGACGCCCTCCACTCCTTAAAACACTGCTTCTGGTCTGCTTCACTGCGGTCGTAGGTGTAATACTTTGTAGTTTAACTTTTTGATCCTTATTGCTTTCCTCAGCATTCAATTTCACAGCCGGTATACCGCCGTGAATTTGTAAATATTTTGCCGTAGATTTATTACCTTTGTGCAGAGCACAGTCCAATGGTGTTACCATAACATCCCGAGTAGTTCTGTACAATGGATTCACAACAGCACCATGGTCGAGCAAAATCTAAAAAATAACAGGAAAATTTTAAAAATCGAATAACTAATTTATAATATTTATCTAAATATAAATAAAATATAATATTAATAGTTATTATCTGAATATAATATCAGTACCTATAGTTACATTGGATTCAAATTTTATTATTCATCTCTTAGTATCGTGTCTACATTTTAAAATATGCCTACCTTGCAAATATCTGCATGGTCATGACTTGCTGCTATATGTAACAAAGTTTTGCCATCATGTCCACTAGAATTTATAAATCCATCTTTTAGTTGCAGGAGATATAAAACCAATTCGCGTCTACCTGATGCTACTGCATCATGAAGTGGAAGATCGCCTTTGATATTACGTATCCATAAATTAGCCTTATGATTTGCTGCAAAATAGATATTTTGTAAACCTCTTTTTTCAAATATCAATTTTTTATAATATCAGTTTATTTACCTAGAATTTTAACAGTTTCTAATTGTCCTTTAGCACAAGCACAATGAGCAGGTGTACGTCCTTTACGGTCCTGTCTATCAGGTGCGGCGTCTAAATCAAGTAACAAAGAAGTAGCATCGGCGTGTCCAAGTGTGGCTGCATAATGTAACGAGGTGCAACCATTGCAATCTAATCAAATAAATATGTGAAGTACCACAAATTACATCTCACTATTCATTTGTGTATGAACTGTTTTCGTTGAAAATTTACCTATAACATCAACAGCAGCTCCGCATAAAGTGATAAGTGTTTCTATACACCCTGTATTACCACGAGATGCAGCACAATGCAAAGCCGTTAAACCATCCCTGAAAATTTATCATTACACTTTTAAACTTAATTAATTAATTTCTTTTAATCATGATTTGTACTTAATTAATTTTAATATATATTTATATTTATTCTCAGAATCACCTGTCAGCTGCTTCCACATGAGCTCCAGCTTTTATCAGGGCTATGACAGCTTCTGGACTACCGGCAGCAGCTGCCCAAAGAAGAGGCGATCGCCCTTCATGATCAACTACATGGACTGATGTACCTTTTGCGTTAAGCAATTCTCTGAAAATAGTATAAAAGATTTATTATTTAGAGAGATATGAATTGTCTATAAATTACACTATAGTAATACTTCAGGATTCGAAGAGCATGTCCTGGTATTGCGCCTTGAGCAAGCGGTGCACCACATAGTTGAGCGGCGTAATGAAGTGGGCAACCACCTAATATATCAGGAGCAGATGGATTTGCTCCTGCAGATAATAGTAACCGGAGACAGTCTAGCTCACAACACACTGAAATAAATGTATTATAAAAATGAGATGTGGTGAACACTCAAGTTAAATCTTCGCAAAAGTGGTATAAAAACTAGCTAGTATTGGTATTTAGCCTTAAGGCAAGTTACATGAACTTCCCGATATGTGTAAATAATCAACTTAATCAATAATAAACAAATTAATTTATGAGTAAAAAGTGTTCTAAGTGGATTTATTACACATAATTAAAAACAAACGAACACGCTAACTCGGAGTATTTTCTAAAAGCAAATTTTCACAAATCAATAATTTTTATAATTGAACCAGTTTTCGTAGGACGTTAATGGTTTAGTATGTTCATTAAGACCAAGTAATCTATCGTTATACCAAGTAAATCATCTAATTTTAATTTTAACAAACGTCAAAAAAACTACTCATTTTCTCAAATTTTGATGAATTTTTAAAATCAAACTACTAGTCGTAAGGCCGTAATATTTCAGTATGTTCTATAAGATCATGATATATATCGCCAGAAAAAGTTCCATAAAAATCGGCTTAAATTTTTTTTCAACAGTTAATTACAAGAAAACGGGTCGGTAGATTTTCACCTAAAACTAATCAGTATTATTCCGAACTAATATCTTTCGAACAGTTTTTGATTTTTTAAAATCGATTCGGTAGAATGAGCTTAAATGTGGACGAAAAGTTTAACTCTCTTCTTCAAATTACAAAGAAACGGCTCGGCAGATCGTCTTATAAAACTGACAAACTATAGTGCTCTTTAAGATACATCGAATGGCTTTTAAATTTCTGAAATCGGTTCGGGCGTTTTTGAGCAAACGTCGATGAGAGGTCTAATTTTGACAAATGCCAAAAAAAGGATACCAATTTTTGCAAACTTTGACGAATTTTTAAAGCAAAACGGGTTGTCGTAGAGCGGTACTATTCTAGTATGATCTAGAAGACTGGTATGGTATCTACCGTCAAAAAAAATCATGACAATCGCCAAATTTTTTTTTTAATTTTTATTACAAGAAAACGGCCCGGCCGATCTTTACCAAAAACTAATCAGCACGATTCCCAACTAATATCTATCGAACGGTTTTTGAATTTTCAAAATCGATTCAGAATTGCGGGCTAAAACGTGGACGAAAAATTTTTCACTTTTCTGCGATTTAAAAAGAAACGGGCCGGTCGATTGCCGCACAAAACTCAAAAACCCTAGTCTTCATCGAGATACATCGAATGGCTTTTAAAATTTTGAAATCGGTCCAGCCGTTTTTTGAGAAAACGTTGATTTACGGCAACAAATCTGTTCACACACACATACTTTTTCCAAACTCGATCTCATTCGATTCAGAATGGCTTGAAACGTCGAGAAAACATAAAATTCGGATTTTTTTATGAAAACATAAACTTCTCCTTCGGGAAGTTAATAAAAAATATGAACTCTGTATAGTATTAACTATCAAGTTAAATCCTATAAAAGTAATAAATGATTTTAATTACCTGTCGCCCAATGGACTACAGAATGTCTTTCATTGTCCAGTGCATCGATATCAGCCCCTTGAGCAATGAGAAGTGATACCAATGCAGTGTCACCTTGTATTACAGCCAGATGCAAAGGTGTCAAACCGTCACGGTCCGGGCTGTCCAGCAGACCCGGAGCCGCCGTGACGAGCTGGCCCGCCACCGCGCTGCCCCTGCAGTAGTGCAGTGCGGTGCGACGGTTTCGATCTTGCCGGTAAGCCGAGACCGGCTGAAAATTAGGACAAACATATGACATATAATGCGTAATAAAAATTCAATATATGTATAATATTTCAAGTAAAATATAATAGATCAATAAAAATATTAGGACGAGTTAAATATTATCAAAAAAATATTTGTCGGTTTTTAAAATCCGATTTTTAGAAGAAAATTATAGAATTCAATTCGGATTCAAGAATTTTTTATGAATAAATAACATCTTAACACTTTCCACTCGGGAGTCTGCTCGACGGTGCGCTCGGAATTTTTTTTGTATCGGATTTTTTTAAAATGTGGTAATATTGCTTTTAAATACTTATTATTATGATAATAAAACAAACAATTTTGAAAAAAAAATTAAAAATGTGATAAAAACCATGTTATTGTTTAATAAATCGTTTTTACACAGATGTTTATTAAAATTAATTCATAAAAATTATATCAAATATATTCTGAATAAAAAAAATATTCTTGAAGAGTAGATACGGTTGCATGTCCATATTAACACACTTTCGGCGGATAGGATTTCGGGCTAACTTGTACCCGTAGCGGGGTTTTTACAACGGTGCGAATGCGTAAGCATGGCATGAAAGCAGTCTTTTACTTACAATACTTACTGCCCAAATTCAAACGCAGTAGTAAATACTATAATATTAAGTTATTATGAGGTAAAACTATCAATACTGAAGGTAAAATATTTGCAAATAAAGTTGAATTTTATTACGCAATGATACATATGTTTAGGCAATGAAATGAAAAATGTAATTAATTCTAAAAAATTAAAACAAAATACACAGAAAAAATTTCTATACGTTTTCTTACGTAATTACTCATAAGTTTAGTCTCTGAAATAAAAAAATGAATTTAATCATAAAAATCAATTAATCAAAATACAAAGAAAAGTTTGCTATAGGTAGGTTTTTTACACGATTATACACCACACATTTTTACGCAATAAGTTTAGAATTGTAGAAATCATTTGGACTATTCTTTTTGAAGCATTGCAACAAAACTTCTTGGCGTCTTCTAAATATTGTCTCTCCTCTTTTAAGTTTCAAATTTTTAAATTCTTCAGGAAGGCCCTTGTTTGTTCTTATAGTCCCACAAATTCTAGTTTTATTTTGTAGTAATAATAAACTTGTATTTACACTATTATAAAAATTGTCCATGTATACATGATGCCACAAATTTAAATAAGGTTCTAATATATCTAATATAGTTCTCTGTAAACTATTGTCATTTTCATAGTAAATTTTTAAATTGCATATGTAGCCTGACTTTGCTTCGCAAGCCATTCTAATCAGAATACTATATTTTACTATTTTTGCTTAAATGCTTGTTTTAAATATGATAAATATTTTAATTAAATTTTAAATATAAATTTGAAGATTTATTTAGGTAATAGGAAGTAACAAGTTATTAAATACATTTAATTCCATTGAATTCTTTCAAATAAAAGAAATTGGATAATAAAATACGATATCATACATTTTCAAATTACCTCTAATCCAAGCACAATTGAAAAACATTGCGAAAATTCGTCATTCAACAGTAAATTAATGAATTAGTTTTATTACTCGCCGGATACTGTATTTGATAAAATTACCTGTTGCCAGGTACGTAAATTAGACAAAGTAATTCCATTCTCCAATCATGTATAAAGTACCTTTATCACTTATAATCATACTATATACAATCTAGAGTTTTACGTTGAAAATTCGATTGTTTTTAATATTATACGAAATTAATTTTTATGGTGTATAAATTAGTGACAAACCTAATAGTTAATTACATAAATAATAATATGATTTTATAAGCTACGTTCGATTGCTTGTAAAAATGTAATAGCTTATTTTTAACATTGTATTTGACAATTAAATTATATGAATTATCGAAACGCAATAAATACAAAGATAGCAAAATATATAAATGGTAATATAGTATTAAAAGAAATAGTTTGTTTACCAAAAATGCTGACGTAAAACATATCGTCTTTAATAAATACCATATATTTATGTAATATATACGTATTTACGTATCGAAAATAATTTTAAAGAATAAATTATAATTTTATTATAGTTTTATAATAAATATAAAACTAGCGTTGCAACCGCTCATAGTAAGAAATTTCGTTCGCTCTTCGCATCTAGCGTGTCCGACCGAGTACCCGAAAATACCCGCACCCGCAGTTGAATGACAATTCTAAAACCAGGTACCAGTACCCGGCCCGCCGAAAGTGTGTTAAGAACAACCCCAATAATACCGTTATTTTTTTATTCCACGTATATATATATACGTGTGTGTATGTAAAATATGCATATGTACAATACATTACATTGTATATATAAATAATATATAAAATGAAATCGCTAATAACATTTATATCTAAAAAATAATGGGGTTTATGAACTATTAAGTTTATTTTATCATATTTTATTTCTGAAAATATATATTAATCAATAAATGAACTTAATAGTGAATTAATTTCAAAAGAATGAAAAAAAAATCACATGTTGTAAGTTTAGTTGCCGGAGCGGCGGCATTCGAGTCGAAAGGGTTAAAATACATTGTAAATGATAAATGGAACCAAATGTACCAGATAAATGAAAACACAATTATAAAGCGATACTCTTTCTTCGTTTCAATGTTAATAAAAATGGTAATAAAAATATTTACAATTTTACAAGTAAAAATTAGGCATAAACAAAGAGTAATTAATTGTTTTTGAAGTTATTTAATACTGGTCAATTATTATTTTTTGACTAAATCCGTTTTAGTAAATTGCAAAAAAATAATATCAATAAATAGATTAGTAAATAATTTCAATCAAAAACTGCTTTTAAAAATGGAAGTAGCAAAATGTGATAATTCAATAATATTAATAATATCAATAAATATTGATTCATACTTTAACAGATTTCATGCCAATATAAAAATTATATGTATACATATATAACAAAAAGAATTCTAAATACATTATAATGTTAAAAAGTTAGTAAGCAGAACAGAACGTAATACAAAATAGGAATAATACAATTCTCTGAAAGTTTTAGCTCTTAATATTAACTTTTAGATAGTTCGCAATTCAATCAATCTTTATATGGTAATACGAGTAGCATGGAATAAATTTTGAAAATTAAAAAAAAAATTTTTTTAGGTATAACTTAGCGACAAATTTTGAATAAAACTCGTTCATTTGTTCGCTAAATTATATCTAAAAACATTTCTAAAATTTTTGAAAATTTTTTCATGCTATTTCCATACAAAACTTTGATTGAATTGCGCACTATCTAAAAGTTAATATTAAGAGCTAAAGCTTTCAGAGAATAGTTTTTTATCAATTTGGAACCATTTGAGCCTTTGGGAGCAAAAAAATTCGAAAATGTCCATATTAAGGACCACCCTAATGTATATATATATACATATACTAAGTCTTTATTTTATGTACCAATGTATTTAGTTGACTATTTGTTTCGTATCTATGGATACATACAAATGTATTTAAAAATGCAATTCAATGCAGTTTTAATATTCGGTAAACTTACTTATTTCCATACGAATTATTGAAAAACAGTTGACCTATATATGTTAGCACCTACCACTTTAAATAATGAATGAATTGCGTACACAATTTAAAAAAAATATTAAATTGATTCTTGAATAAAATAATAATTAATTAATTATTAATACTTATATTAATAATACATAGTAGTAATAAAAATAATAATTAAATTTGATGTTTATCATCAACTCTTGATAATGAATCATTCTGCTCCATCATGTATAGTGCATATTAAGGCATTTAGAAAATAACGCATACAAAATGATATTACACATAATTTAACGAAAAATCATTTTTATCGTTTTGATTTTAATCACGTTCATAATATTGTAATATTTTTCACTGCATATTAAATTTAACAAAGCACTTCTTATATTTCGAATAAATGAAAATGCGCAGAAATGAAAATGCAACCTGTTCCCCGAGAATCCGCACGACACCTGGCAGGTCGCCTTGTTGACAGGCGTACATCAAGCCGGAGCTACCTCGCTTCAAACAGCCCAATCGTAACCTGGACGACGACGGCGCCTCGCGATGACTTCTCATTGCTCAGCGGCCTAAGACACCGAACAAGGCGCATGTCCCACGGTCTCAGCTCACCATTACTTGGATTTATAGAGACAGCTGATGAAATATAAAGAAAGTACTGTTTTAATAATTTTAATATCATCAAATTCTAGTATTAAGTTTAAGAGATATGTATTTTCAACTCTTTATCAAATTTCAAATAAAAAACATACAATAGAAAATTCGAACTTACAATCAGTTACGTTTGGATATGTTGTGAATATGAATTGATGGGTTAAAAAAAAAACACGATATATATCCTCTAGTTGCTAAATAAGATAAGCGTTAAGACAAATAACCTACAAATAGCTATTTTAATATTGAATAGTTGTCCGCCCAATGACAGGTCCATGGCAATAGCTTTTAAATAAATTTTATAGTAACTTTATTTGAGCTGATGAACAATTGTATTCACTCCAATCAATTTTGTGTCAATTAAATCAAAGCTTTTTGATAAGAATTTGCGCTAAAAATATCCAGTGACAATTATCAGTTACTATTATTAGTTAAGAATAAAAAAGCACAAAGCTTATTAAGGGGGTATTCTAGTGTAGAGCTATGAATTTTAGGTCATTTTTAAAGTGTCGTAAAAGAAAGCAATGAATGTTTTTACTCTTCATTTTTTTATTACTTGTTTATTAATATTATTAAAATACAAAACAAAATTAAAAATAAAGAAGTGAAAATTGTAAAAACCGGCAGCTGATGAAGTGGGTGGTCTCAAAAATTGGCATCTCAGTCTTGACATGATTTCAGCCCTGCTAGCCATCGGAAATGCAAAAAATAAAAAGATTATTAATCTGCAATGATGTCGCAATCGCCCGAACTAGCGATGAGTGAAAAAAAAATGTTTTTTACAAATTGGCGACTGTTTGAAAAAAAGTCTTTTTGTACTGTTTTTTTTGAGTTTCCCGAATTTTTTGAAAATAGTAAAAATTAGAATTTGGTGATAATCCTAGTTCGGGCTATAGATAGGTCTATAAACAAGACTCTCTGAATATTTCAAGTGAATAGGTCGATTAAAACTCGAGAAATCGTGTCAACAGTACTGAAAAAGTCTGTTCTGAGAAAAACGCATTTAAAGTTTTGCGTGAAGCCAAACCAGTATGGAGACCGAGTAAGTAAAATGCCTATAGCTCCGAAAATAATTCAAATTTTCAAAAACCTACTCGTACCTATATTCTTAGATAGTTAAACTTTGAAAATATGAGATAAAAAAAATCGATTTTTTGAAATTTCTACACTAGAATACCCCCTTAAGTCAAGAATAAAAAGCACAAGCTATTGATGAGTAATTGTGTTCACTCTGATCAATTTTTATGTCAATTGAATCAAAGATTTTTGATAAGAATTTTCGCTAAAAATATCCAGTGACAAGTATCAATTACTATTATTAGTTAAGAATAAAAAGGCACGAAGCTTTTTAAGTTAAGAATAAAAAAGCACAAGCTATTGATGAGTAATTGGTTCAATCTGATCAATTTTATATCAATTGAATCAAGGCTTTTTGATAAGAATTTCCGCTACAAATATCCAGTGACAATTATCAATTACTATTATTAGTTAAGAATAGAAAACACAGAGCTTTTTAAGTTAAGAATAAAAAAGCTATTGATAAGTAATTGTGTGCACCTCAATCAAATCTTTAAACAAATCTTTTTGATTAAGATTTCCGCTACAAATATCCAGTGACAATATTATCTGTTACTATTATTAGTTAAGAATAAAAAAGCACAAAGCTTTTTAAGTTAAGAATAAAAAAGCACAAGCTATTGATGAATGATTAGGTTCACTCTGATCAATTTTTATGCCAATTGAATAAAGGGTTTTTGATTAAAATTTTCGCTACAAGTATCCAGTGACAATTATCAATTACTATTATTAGTTAAGAATAAAAAACAAAAAGCTTTTTAAGTAAAGAATGAAAAAGCACAAATTGGAGAAGAATTGTGAATGTAGAGAACAGCAGTAATTTTTATTTTAAATAAAGTAAATATATAAAATAGAGAAATTATATATTATATAATTAAAATAAATGAAACAACATATTTAGAATAAATAATTTTGCCTAAATATGCATTTCATATAAAAAAATGGAAATAAAAATAATTCTTCATTATTTTTAAAATTTTCAAATATGGCACTGAAGAGCTTTCTTATATTAACTTTCTTATATTAATTAACTTTTTTGTTTTTGTACAATAAGACATAGAACCTTTGAACTAAATTGGAGCTATTTTGCCCCAGTCACAAAAATATGAAAATATTTGATAAACAAAACAAAAACTTTTAATTAATAACTAATAATATATTGATAAAATATTTCTAAATTTCAATCACATAACTATTTTTCATAACTACGCAATTCTAATCGAATAGAAATAAAAGTTCTAATCAAAC